TTTCAGTTCTAGATTTGCCCGGTGATGATGCATCAGCCATTTAAATCATTCACTGGCAACTTGAAGTCATCAAGTCATCCTCCCCAATAACTTACTAACAATGTTCTGTATACATGTAATAATGAGTGAAGATATTCGCATTTTTAACGTTCATAATACAGAAAATAGCAAAATAGAAAATGAAGCAGAGCATCATGGGTATTCCGTAGTTAATTGTGCACAAACTCCATAATGACTTTAAAATCGCCTTCCATCTACCCTTCAACATAAACCTCTACAATTTATAACACACATAATGCAAAGTACATATATTAATTCATAATTCCGATTGAGTATTTCAATGCAAAATGTTATTGTTCGGGTGTATTTGAAGATTTTCTGTCACTATTAAAATAAGAATTTTAAGAACATATCTCCTTGCCCGTGTATAACATTTGGGTGATAAGTCAGTTTGTAAGCATGTTGGCGGGGGCGCACTGCCCGAAGGTTTGTGGTAATATAATGCTTGACATTGCCTTTAACACTTCAAAGTTGTCCCGCAACTTGCTCAAGATTAATAAATAAATAAATAAATAAATAAATAAATAAATAAATAAATAAATAAATAAATAAATAAATAAATAAATAAATAAATAAATAAATAAATAAATAAATAAATAAATAAATAAATAAATAAATAAATAAATACTCATTTTAAAACTATGGACCAGTATTTTTATCATCGGCTTCTCTGGTTGGCTCCCGTGAAGATATCTTATCTAAAATTGTTGATTGATATTGAGTCACATCATGGAACTATAAACCCCAGGGTTTTATAGTTCCATGGTCACATATACATGTAGTTACAGATCTATATATGCCGTACTTCTTGTTATTGGATCTATTTTCAAAGTCGTGTTTCATAAATACGGTAACAATTAAATAATGCTTTATCATTTTATTTTGTGGATGGAAACTGTCATAAAATATTTTTTCTTCGTAATGTTTGAATGGATGTTTTGTACCACAGTGCACATCAGAAAATTAGGCTGTTCTTGACTATGTATGTTGACCCTTGACCCAAGTCAAATACTCCGCGTAAAGTAGGTCAAGTAATTGACGAAGAGAAACAACGCACAACTATATTCAAAATGGCGACCGTCGCACCAGGGAAACGATAGGAATCCCGTTTTTGAAGAAATATCCCGGTACGTTTGTTATTTACACCTCATTAATGTGACTGTGTTGAATATGTTGATTATATGGCAATTTAATAACGGGTTCAGTATTTGTAGAATACTAGATAGAATCGCAAAGAAGCAAATATCTAATCAAACTGGGGCTGTATGTTGCGTAGTTAGTTTGATAGTGCGTTTAAAGAGTTCGATATAGAGCTTCATTACGTAAATCGTAACATCCACTGTCACTGTCACTGATATTCAAGGAGGCTAAATGTCGCCACAGTGTTACAGATACATTAGAAACTCACAAGAATGTATGTAGTTCTTCAGTCCATATTGTTACGTGAAAATAACAATAACAACGGACTAAACAATAAAACAGTACATTATAATTATAGATATATTATTATGTATTCTTGTATGTTTAATGGGCAATGAATCTTGTTTGTTTGTTTGTTTCCACTTTTTAGCATTTTTTTATTATCTTGTAGTTTTTAGTGACTTTACTGCTGTAAGTTCCAAAGTCAGTGTCCTGTCAATAAATAAATGTTTATATGCAGTTTTCAGAGAATGTTCTCTGATTATAACAGCAGTTGCAGATCATATGGACTTAGACCATTATTTGCTTTTATTGACTGCATTTTATTCTAAATCGTGTATAAATTCGCCAATAGTCAATATAATACAATAGTATACTAGCTAAACATCAACGCTATATTGTCAGTAAAGCATTAGAAACACTAGAGAAGTTTCATGCCCTCAAAGTTGATAATTCATTTGTTTTGTCTTCACACTTATCTAAAGATATGTAGAGAATGTCATAGCCAGATAAAGAACCAAGTTAATACATTAATTTATTCAATTCAATTCAACTTTATTGCAGTATAGAAAAAATACAAAACAAAAATAAAAAATACATACTGTACATTTTAATATCATGTAAACCTGCAGACCTTTTGTTAAAATGTAGGGCAGAACTTTACAAAGACATTCATGGCATTTACCTCAAAGCTTGTAGGTCAACTCAACTCTGAGTTACAATTCCTAATATACATATATACTAGTCTTTATCTTTTAAATCAAATTTCTTTGTTTCTCTAATCAGGTATTCATGATGCCCTACTTTGCGTGGTTCTCAGTAATGTAACTTCAACTTTATAGTACATAAATTGCCATGGAAACCTACGATGAAGATATCTCAGAAAACCGTTTCTTCCGATTGTTACAAAATAAATACAAAGCTATTTATGAAAATGCTGCTAACAATAGGTGGATTGTAAGTATTATTTTCACTTGTAATTAACAAAAAAACTGTCTGTAATGGATGTTAAAGGAAAGCTTTCTGCCAGTCTGTCTGTGCATTCATGTACTTACTAGTGGTTCCATCGTAATTTGGAATCTATTGTTATATATAGATACTTCTGTTCAAAGGACAATACTGTACTCTTTCTTCTACTGTACTCTTGTCCTTAATCTGGGCTCTCTCTGGAATTTGCTAGGTAATAGTAAATTTACTAATCAAGAAAAAAAGTATTAGTAAACTTTGTCTGGAAACTGCGGAGCATTTTCCCGCGACCGAGCACAACGGGGAAAAGAGAAGAGAGGGAGCTGTCCCCTCTGTCGTCCGCCGAAAACAAGAACAGCATGCTGAAAATGGTGCTTGCTGGTAGCAACCTGAGCTCTAATTTTGTGTGTAATTTCATGACATCAAATTAGGCAGTCTGCTCCACAAAATGTACCATTTATGATGGTACAACAAAACATCACAATAAAATATACAATGTAGACACCAGAACCTTTTCATATTCATGATAAACTCACATTGTTAACAGTGGGGAAAATAGTCGTCATTCAAAAGTTCACTAAGTTCACTGCCTAGAACACAAGTCATCCTGTGAATAAATTTTCACGGGAAATTTCTCAGAAAAAACTCTATGCCAATCATTATTATTATGAAGTAATCTCCCGTGCTCATCATGCAAACCCGCATGTTGACGTTTATGACGACACAAAATGACTATTATTTTCATCGAAATTTCTGAATTAAAGTGAAAAAGTAACTAAAGTAACTTTCGGTCTTGTAACTCGATCTCAATGCTAAGAATGCCCGGTGAGAATGTTACACAAATTATAGTATTTTTCGATCGATTCGCTAACATTGTCTCACCTTCCATTAGCTGTGGAATCATAGCCCTATGTTGCCGACCGCATTATTTACGTGACATGTTCGACATACAACAACAAAAATAAAAACAAGACGTCCGAATGAAATTGGTAGGGCAAAATTAGATTGTATGTCGCACCAAGAGCTACGGAACCGCAGCTAACCTTTCATGATTTCTGAATCGTGCTGCAGTACGATCACTTTCGTTTCT